AAACTCATGCCGGGCATGTGTGCGTGTGTGCCCAAGATCCCAAGAGGAGAATGGAGGAGAAGGGATTGCGGCATGGCCATTCCCCTGAGGGTGATTTCTCGCCTTCTGTCTCTCTGTCTCTGTCTTTCTGGCGAGTGCACGCTCCCTATAGCAAAAACCTCTCCAAAATAATAATAATAATAATAATAAAGAAAAAAGAGCCTTCCCTGTTTCTCGCACTCGCAGTCCATGTAAGAACTCACACTCCAGAGACGTTTTGTGAAAGTAAGGAACACAGAGAAGCCCTCCGTAGAGGTTTACCCTCGCAAGAGCACGCCGGGAGGAGAGACTGACGGACAGGTCTGCGAAGGCGGCCTGCAGTGCTCGCTCTTCACGCAGTAAGGACAGACGAGTACACGGTAGGACTGAAGCGCCATACACGCCCATGGTGGTTGCCATTTCCAGTGTCTAATAAAATGCTATAGAAGTGCGGTCTCTGCACCCTTCCAGCTCTGCCTCAGCTCTTGGGAAGTCGCTTCCTTACAGCCCGCTTGGGCGCGTATGGTCTCATTTTCTTTTTTAGGTTTTTGCTATAGGATACATGCTGCTCTCCAGAGAGGAGAGAGACAAAGAGGGAAGTAAGAAATCCCCCCCGGGGGACCAGCCACACCGCAATCCCCTCTCCTCCATTCTCCTCTCAGGATTTTGGGCATGCACACCCACTCGTCTGGTGTGGTTTTCAAGCCACTGCAGTTGGCCATGCGGGAATCCAGCCGCCCTAACCTGCACACCACCTTGTGGCCCCCCTGTGGTCTCGTTTTCAGTGTGAAGCTCTCTGGGCTTCGTTTCCTTTCAATCTGGGGCCCAGCCCGGTGCAGCCAGTAGCAAACTGAACTGCCATGCCGGAGGCCACTGTGGAAGCTGACAGTGGGTCTGGATGCCTGGGCCTGCTTGAGCACATGCCCAGGATCCCAATAGCTGGAGGGCTGGGAAGAGGGACCCACGGGGTGACCAGGCGCTGTCGAGGGTGCTTCCCTGCTCATGTGCACGTGCTCTCTGTCACGTAAAAAATTTTCAAACAGCAAGGCTGGCCCCATAGCGCAACGGTTAAGCCCCATGCATAGGGAGCTAGATCCCACGTGGCCGACTATGGTTTGAGTCCTGACCCTGGCAACTGGAAAAACTGAGGGGCGAGAGACAGACAGACAGACAGACAGAGAGTGTGTGTATGTGTGTGTGCGTGCACACACGTGCTCCAAACCCCGATAGGGCAAAGAAATGAAGGAATAAGGATTGCGATGTGACCATCCCCCATTGGAGGGATGTGCTCTCTCTCCCTCTGGTGAGCACACGTGTCCTTTGACAATAAATAATAATTTAAACGTGAGGTTAGTGGGCTCCAGGGTATCATCTTTGCCTGTTCTCTGTTATTGCTCACTGATTGGCTGCGTGACAGTCAGAGTATATGGGCCTCATGACCCTGACTTGGGGCACGTGTGACCTTCATTTTGGCCTGATGTGGCCGGTCTGTCCACTGTCCTGCCCTGAAGATCACCCCTCCTCGTCTTCCTTACTAGGCACGCACAGACTGGTCTTTCCACACGGAGCACGGTGTTGTGTTTCCGGTGAATTTCCCAGATTCTCTCACTGCTGGTGGGAGGCAGATCTTGGGTCCTACTCCAGGTCAATGAGAGCTCCAATGGGCCGTGGGAAGGACGGTCCCAGTAGCATAGCCTTCGGAATACGGCGGGTCACCTTCCCCAGTGGCGAGACTGTGGCTGCCAGGACTGTATTTCTGGACTCATCACATGGAGCAAGCATCTAACTGGCTTCAGAAACACTTCAGGGTGAGCTGGTGGCATGGGGTTACGGCAGCTGGCTCCCACGCAGCTGACTGCCCAGTCTGAGTCCCAGACCGCAGAAGGCCCCACTCAGTGACGCTCCCCTGAGCAACGCCTGGTATCCGCGCAGCCTGGCAAGAAAGCAAGGCCAGACGGCTGCAGAGCTGGCCTCGGCAGGAGCCTCCACTCTGGGTGCTGTGTTGCAAGGTCACCCTGCCCGGGAAGGAGCAGCCAACGGCACACAGTGGGTACTGAGAAGTCGACTCCCCGGAGAGAGATGCCAACTCCCCTGCCTATTGGTGACGCAGACGGTCCCCCAGAGTAGCCCACCTTCCCAGTGGCGGGCTGAAGCGCCTCCACCTCAGACCCCAGCCTTTCTCTCAATCAGCTTCCTTTTTTCTCTTGAGCTGATGCCTCCTGAGTCTTACTCCAAACTAGGACAGTCCTAGCAGCTGGAAAATCATGCCAGGCATGTGTGCGTGTGTGCCCAAAATCCCAGGAGGAGAATGGAGGAGGAGGGATTGCAAAGTCACCACCAAGCAGGGACAGTGATGTCTCACTTTCCCTCTCTGTCTCTGAGTCACCACCGGGCAGGGACAGTGATGTCTCACTTTCCTTCTCTGTCTCTGTCTCTGGCAAGTGCAAGCACCCAATAACCAAAAAAAGGCAAGAAACAAAAATATTTTAGTCCATCACAGGGTCTGGGTAAAGGGTAGCAGGCAGGGGGACCCAGAAAGAGACAGAGAGACAGAAAGTGAGAAATCACCCCCCAGGAGAGATGGTGCTGCCACAATCCCTTCTCCTCCATTCTCCTCTCGGGATCTTGGGCATGCACCCACACGCGCCGGTGTGAGATTAAGCCACTGGGTCTGGGACTCGAGCCTCTGTCGACTACATGGGAGTCCAGCGACACAGCCATTATGCCAACTGCTGGTCCAATACTTTTCCTTCTTTCATAATGCCCACAACCCTCTGAAGTGGGTGCCATCATTCCCATTTCAAAGCAGAAGATACAGAACCAGCGAGGCTAAGCAAGCTGCCCAAGGCTACACAGCAGGAGTGTGGCCGGCGTGACTAGACTCCGGGCTATCGAGCACCCTCCCTGTACTGATAGGGTCGCAAATTTGGGTTCTGTCCTCTCCACTAGGACGTGAGCTCCAGGGCGCCGAGGACCTCACCTGGTGCACGGAGGCATTTAAGAACGGCGGAATGAACGGGATGAATGGCTGTCTCAGGGAGCCACAGCCTTTCCTGACTGCCTGAGAGTCCCTGCAGGGCTTCTGGTCTCAGCAAACCCGATCCTCCGGGCGACACCGGAGCAGAAGGAAGGAAATCGCTCGCACCGTCTGAACCGAGGACGGGGCCAAACCCAGTCCCTGCAGGGCGCGGGCGCCACCTGGCGGCGCAGTCCAGCTAAGGCAACGCCGCCCGGGTTTGGAGAGGTGGATCCGCGTCTAGGAGGGGCGGTGGCCGCAGTGCCCAGGGCAGTTGCGAGAAAACCCAGAGCAGAGCAGGGGACCGTCTACCAGTGGGCTCCAAGCTTACCCGACTGTGAAGCAGATTTCACACCCGTGCATAAGCCTGTTTCTCAGCTTCTGGGTCGGGGACCAAACTGGTGACCAGCCGTATGGGATCCAGCCGCCTTAACCCATAAGCCATGAGGTGGTTGATGCTTCTCGTTCTAGTCTATTCCTATTTTAAATGCTGTTCGGATCACCTTAAAGTTACTTCCTGACTCACGAGTCTCCACTGGTAATTTCGGATAATCTGTCCTTGTCACCTGTAACTACGGTTGTGATGGAGACGGGGTTAGCCCTGCCAGCACTCCCGGTGGCTTCCCCGCCACGTTGCGCCAACTCCAAGACTCGCGGCCAGCTCTGGTCTCAGTGTCACAGACTGCTCAGAGAGCTGGAGACGCGTGCCCAAGGCCACACGGCTTGGACACGGCATTACCAGTTCCTGCCTCACTTCCACAGGAGAAAAATCGCTACATGTTTCCCATTTCAACATTACTGAGAGAAATTTCATTCACTCCTATATTTTTTATCCCACAGGACACCTGTGCATGCACGAGACAGAGAGAACCACCCCGTCAGGCCTGATCAGGCCACAATTGTTATTTGCATGCACGAGACAGAGAGAACCACCCAGTCAGGCCTGATCAGGCCACAATTGTTATTTCTTTTTCTTTTTTTCTTTTGTAGAATATTTTTTTGCTATAGGGCTCACATGCTCAGCAGAGAGAAACAGAGGAAGTGAGAAAGAAAGCCACCAGGTCCGGGATTCAAGCTGCGGTCGGCCAGGAGAGAGTCTAGCACCTTAACCACCATGCCACCTGCTGGCCCCCACAATTCTTTTCCCTCTGATTCCCCTTCCTGACAGGATTCTGGGCTCATGTGCATGCACACAATGTGTTCTGAGAGCACCGGGGCTCAAACCCTGGCAGTCATGGGATCTGGCCTCCTCTGCATAGCGCTTCGCTGCCCTGCAGGCCCAGCCCGCTGTCTCTGTCTGTAAAATTGGCCTGCTGCTCTCTTAACCTGTATGAGGCAAATTCATGGCATTCCAGAACTCAGTCCTGAAAATGCAAGTCTTCATATGTCACGTGAATCTGAGAGGGGGACAACCACCACTGTCAC